CTTTTCGAGATTAGGAAAAGGTGACAAATCTAATTGGCCTTTCAGCTGTACATTATTAGGATAGTCAGGAATATTGAGTGTATCCCCCGAAAGGGTAGGTTTATTAGTATTTTTATGAAAATATATTTTTTTTATTAATGTTTTTTGATCATTATTCAGGTGATTAAATATCGTTTGTGCCATAGTGGTGTTTATTTTCAAATTATAATTTGGTTTTAACAATTTCTCAACAAAGCCTTTTATTTATTTAATTTATTCGTGGGAATTATAAAGCATCTGAATTTACAATTAGGCAACAGCAGTGTATCTAACACTATCAAATATGCACCGAGTATAAGCATTATGTAAGTTGGCGTATCTCTAACAATTAAGGATACAATGAAGAAATTTGCTCGATGATTATATTTTCTCATAAGATGTACGTATATCTAACTCATTGCTTTTAGCTAATTAATATATCAAAGTCAACAATTCATATTATAGAGCGTGTTAAACAAAACAAAACAGATTATTTTTAGATCATGTATTCTCTTCAGTTCTCAAAACGTGATGTCATGGAGTTTATCAAAGATTAACTTTGTACAGTATTATGCTTTCAATATGGACGTTGCAAAAAAGAACATTCTTTGCATTTTGATAATCTTTACCGTTATGGGTTTCATTTTCGGAAATTGAATTCCGTAACGAATGATAAAGACATGAATTTCAAATCTTTTTTTTTTGGCGTTACATATACATATATTTTTAATAATACATATTAAAGATCACGTGTATTATTACTAGTGATTGGACCCGTCAAAAAAACGCCACCCGGGTCACCCGTGGGTGGACCCATGAGCCACCCGAGTAGAACCCGGGTGGTGGACTCATGGGCCACCCGGATGAAAATAGATACCCCCTGTTATTACGCATACTTGTATATACAAATATATTTCTAAGTAATAGTGGTAGTTTGTTTCAAAAGTCTCTAGCATTAAAATAAGATGGTAATTTTTTTTTTTTGGATCGGGTAGAAATTTACCGAGAATTCATTGTTTTTATGCTTGACATGTAAAAAAATGTAAAAGTAATTCTTGAGCGACCTTTGTCAATGGTAAGAGAAAAATTTTTCATCGAAATGGCAACGTTTAAAATTTTACTTCCGATCCATTGAGTGGGTGCTAAAGAACACCCTTAATCCGTTTTGAAAAGTTTTTTTTTTTTTTAAAAAAAAAGAAAAGGCAATTAATATACATACAAGTGTATATTTGGATTGAAGTTTAGTAAAGTCTTGCAATATTGTTCACGGGTCACTCGTCGGGTGACCCACCCGGGTGGCCAAAACTCCAACCGGGTCCAATCATTAAACCACCTACAACGGCGTTAACCTTCAATACATCTCGGAAATCGAGGTCAAAAGAGCAACTAATAACAGTGAATCCCGTGAGCACAGGGACACGGAACTGTGCTGTGGTATATTATGGTTGTTAATATTTAGTAAGCGAGAGGGTTTATGTATGATTTAACAATACGAAAGAGTGCGTTATGTGTATTTAGAAGCGAATAGAGTATCCTTTATTCATTGTGATAAAATGCTATAGCAAGCATGCTTACAAAGTGGAACGAACATAGCCCGTTTATATAATAAAGTGTTTATTAATAAAGGTATATTACACCCTATTACTATTAATGTTTTCAACGTCCTATGTTCTTTACATCCTCAATCCTTCACTCTTATACGCATCATTTGATTCATATAAGCCGCTTATACCCTTTTACCATTATAGTTCTTTAAGGTTACATGTGACCCTTATGGCAGAAGTAGTATGTTCGGCAGTAATCCCTGACTTATATGATCCATGACACAACCATTGAGCAGGGTCAAATCGGCAGAGTGTACAATCAGCAGGAGTAACAACAGCTTAATTAAAAGTGCTCCTTGTAAAATTTTACTTATATACTACATTGTTCTAACATTAACCCTAACGTGGTTTTATTATACGCAGCCTTTTTACTTTGGGAGATTGCTACATGTGCTTATGTGCATAACAACGACCAGCATTACTAAAATGCACTTACCCTAACATTAATTCTAACCCTAACTCACGCTGATGTTGTGCCTGTATTTCCCTTTTACTTTGAAAACAATCTATCACGTTACACCTTACCATTCTGCAGTTCACAATAGAAAATCATTTTATAACACCTTGTTAACTACCGCAGATCATCACAGGAAACTTCAATTCTCGAATTTCATTGTTTTTTTCTGACAAACATTGCATGAGTGTGCATTCACTTTTGTTCAAACAGAAGAATCCACTACGCTTCGGACAATGAACGATGGCTATTTTCCCTTGAGCACTCATATTAGGATTAGATGTAGATTTTGGAACCAGTTTATTTTTCACATGTTAACCCCGATTAAAAGCGGGGTTAACAAATGAAAAATAAGGCAACTCTTTGTTAAGCACTAAAGAAGTTACACTTATCTTGAAATCTGATTTGCAGTTCAGGAAATCTCCTGGCACACATTTCAGACGTGCAGAAATTCATGTTTTGAAGACGACTAATATTAAGACAAATCGTCATGGAGTTTGATATAAAACAATTTAATCAATAAAAAAGATGTTTTAATTTTGTCAATAATCTAACCATAAAGGGTTAATTTACTTTGCTTTTCAATAGAATAGAATTACGAAATATTTGTAGTGTCAGACTAACAATTTATCATGTATATTGCATAAAACTTTTATGTATCAAAAGTTAAATATTTTTCTTGACAATATATTCACACCAAATCTAATGTCGTCCAAGTACAAAGTAGTTTGTATTCAAAGCAGTGTGGCTAGTGATTTTATAATGTCAAAATCAATAAGAGACACCATCTGGTCTATCTAACATAGATTATATGTTAGCAACTATTCTCTAGTATATATACGTATTGTAAAGTGATATGTCAAAAAACCATGCGGTAGATTAGATCCTCATGCATGTTTTTTCATCTGTCACACAACTAACACATGTACTAAGCAAATTAAGGTAATCAAATGCACTAACATTAAATCCCGGAGTTAATGGTTGTATTTTTCCGAAGAACGACAACAATAGTCAATGAGTTGTATTGTTTTTAGATCTGTAAGGATCGTTACACAATATATGATAAGAAATGTTTTCTCTAAAGAAAAGAATGTATATCCTAGATTTTACAGGGTATGTGCGTGGGAATATTTCTTGTTTGAAGACTTAGTTTAGGAAGCACTTGAATAACAAAAGTGTTAGTTTATGTTTTAATTCCCTAGATCATAAATTTATTAAATATTTTAGAAATATTTATCAAGAAAATTTGTATGACCTCTTTGATTAACTTTTTTGGTTTAGCACAGGGTCTAGATTTCTAACAGACCACTAAACTGATTACATAATTAATGAATTCCGTTATTTCATAAAAAAGTTTCGTAATTTTTATTGATATAATGAATAAAGACACAAGCTTTAAATTACTATATTAAAAGTTACCTAACAGGAACTTTTTGAAACAATTAAACGATAATTTTAAAAATTAAAATTAATATTGACTTCAATGATAATCTTTTTAGAAACGTTTCAAATTACAGAAAAATTCAATGAATTGATATGATAAAATGTCTATAGTAAATTTGGTGATAATATTTATTGTAAATCAATCAAATAATACAATAAAATATTTCGAATTTATAAATATTTGTTTCTAATTTTGGTAAAAGTTCTTAATAACAGCCAATTTATTGAAAATCTCAATATTCAATTAATATAAATTTTAGAAAGATTAACATCGGAATTTAGTCACTCTTAAAAAATCATATTTGGTCGAATGAAAATAATTTCCATAAACATCTAATATTTAAATACAGTATAAGAATTTAAGACATAATTTTTATATTTTACTTCTATAATAAAATATTGCGTATATATATTCTAGATTTGCCAAATTATTATTTGTAAAAAAAAAACGAAAATTCTATAAGTTTGATACTAATTTGATTAACGAAAAATTTTGCCAGAAAATTTTGTAAATGATGATTTTGCCAAAACGAAAATTTTTTGAATTAATTTCTAATATCGATAATAGAAAGAATTTGTCTCGCATAATTATGAAATATAGTTCTCTCGGCGGTTGTCAAACGTCTCCATATTATGTTTGTGGAAAATCCAATAACCTTGAAATCAGTTACATTTATTAAAGAGGCTTCTTCAAATATTCTCTTTCTAAATAAATTATAAGCAGTAATGCGATTTTTCGTGTTTGTGCGGTGTAAAGTTTGAATATGCGCATTTACATTAAATTGTAATATTCCTGGAAAAACTATTGGATCTTGAATATAAGTAACGAAATCATTTATTTCGTCCGTAAGAGCCATGATAATCATAAGGTTATTTCTTACGAGTTGGTGAAATAAAAAGTAGAATGACCAAACGATGACTATTTATATTTAAAATTTAAAAAGTTCATTACAATTAATTAGATTATAGTTTATAATAGTTTCGGCTAACTAATTAATTATTTGAAATGATACAAAGAAATACTGTAATATTTTGTCAAATTAATAAATATCTACGAACAATACGATGTTTTTTTTTCTCGAATGATTGTGTAAAAATTAACCCCTTAATTATCATCATGTGGACAGTAGTTTTCTTGGTGTGGTGCTAGAAGCAATATATTTAAAATTGCTAACCATTTATGGAATTAATAAAATACTGTGTGTTATTATAAGAAGTTCACAATTTTCAGTTTGTAAATCAATTATGTAAGAACTTGAATGCATGACCAATTAATAAAGTTTGTCTGAAAAGATGATCTAACCAAGAGAATGGAATATGTAATCCTTATGAAGTAACGATCCGATTAATTTGAATGTATGAATTATTGACAACCCATGAAAATTTTACTTGTTTTTCCAATTTAAAAAAAAAAACGAAATACCGAATATATTGAAATATTGCACTGTAAAATTTATTTATAATAAAAAAATATATTAATAAATCGATCAGGCGATGTATAGAAGATCAGGGTCGATGGTGATAAATTAGCGATCCCGCTAGGATCATTTATTTTCTACATTTTCTATGTCGGGATTTTTCGGAAATTATGTTGTGTAATTTAATAAATCTCTACTTTCCAATTCCGTACTATCTTTGACGCATTCTGTGCTTACAACCTGATTTCTGTAGCATTCTTTAAAATGCTGACCAATCGAGTGTAATCACTTTCGATAACTTTCATGACCGTTACTTTATAGAATTTCTCTAATTGTTATTTCACCGACAATATTCAACAATTATATGCCATGGACTATATGAATTTTATTAATGAAATGAACCGAATTCGTATAGAATCGGTGCCATTATTTATATACATAATTTATATTTGATTATTTATTTTATTACATTACTATCTTACTGTATTTATTTATTTATTTTATTCATTTATTAGAAAGTACTGAGGAAAGGAAACACGAGGATTTTCAATAGGTAATATTCCAGTCACCATTACACATCTCAAGTATTACAGGGTGATAAGTGTTTAGAAAGAATAACGAACGATTTAATCAATACTCAGACAGAATTTTTTCTAGTGACTCATTTCATTCCTTAGATTGACCTGAGTTAGAATTAGGATTGGTGGAATTCGGTGCCAGAAAAATCATTGTCGGGAGAATCATCTAAACCCGACAAGTACAAAAATTGTGAAATTCCAATAAAATACGACTTTTTTTATTGGATAAAATCTTTCTTACTTTTGTGTTGTTCAAGAACAATCATAAATCTAAAATCAGAAATTGATTTTTGCTGCATCGATATAAACATTTCTGATGTGGTAAAGGATTTTAGCTTGTAGAACCATAGAGTCATCGGGGAATCCGCTGCATCTACAACATAGACTTGATGCTTTGAGTTACACAACAGGATTATTCAAACAATGTCGTATATTGGCGAGGTTTCGACATCAAAATTCAAGAAGAGCCTCAATATACAAACAAAGTCGTATTTTGATCACGTCAAATTTAAATACGTGAAGGAACTTTATAGCTCATCTAAACAAAAGGTAATTTGACCTAGGTCCCGACGTCAAATTTAAATATGCAGCAGGAGCTTAAGGATCACATGATCAAACCAAAATCGAATTCTACGTCAAATTTAAAAAAAGAAATACTATTTGAGCTAGATCGTACGCACTATTATGGCTGTCATACACATTGTGAAGCACTTCTTGAAATCTTTAATAGGGTAACATATATTTTTTAATGTGGTTTATTTAATTTTTTATATTATTTATTTTATCCTTTTTTAATTTTATTTATTTTATTTTATTTTTTTATTTTATTTAATTTATTTTTTATCTTTTATTTTTTTTGATTTCCTTGATTTGTGAATCTGTGAAACGAGTAATAATATTCAATCAGAGATGCAGCATTACTTCATAATATGCTTTATATATATTTATTATTGAATTACAATTTATTCCACTTAGAAATTTAGATCGACCGATTATCAAATTTTCTTAATTGCGACAAATAAGGATTTAGAAAAGAATCTAAAAAAAGTTGAATAATAGATGGATTGAAATTTGCCTAAAGCTGATGCTTTAGATATTTGCAGTACTTATTATAATGGCTGATCAAAAGCATTAATTTGATCTTAATTTGACCATAATTCAGAGTTATTTTGATTAGCTGCTTCTTTGATTTTATAACATTTATGTAAATTCGGCAAATTTTTATAATATACAGTATTTTTTCATCTTTAATCATTTTCGCTATGTTATTAGGACGATTTGAGTACCCCTGCATTTACAAAAATAAGTGACACAGAACCGGAATTATAATTGCGTATTGTATAACGATAATAAATATTTTCTTACTGGATTTATTTATTTTTTTAAAACAATCAATTTTAGTTAGAACTGCACAATAGAGAAATAATTTGATTATTATTTAATTTCATATACTGTAATGCTGTCAAATGCCGGCATTACTTACTTTTTTTATGAGAAATATAACGCGTTTTTCTTTGAGGTTAGTAGATTTCATTGTTATTTTCCTTATTTCCTTTTTTTGGAAATCTCAATTGTCCTGCATCATGTATGTACGTACGTTCTAACGTTTTTTGGACAAAATTGGATCGAGATGTAACTTATAATGTATTACACATTGTCTACATAAAAAATTACCTGCTCTACAAAATTTTTTTTTAGCAGTCATTCATGTCGTAAAGATTTAATTTTGGATTAATAATCAATTTACCATAAGTTATGGTGATAAGAAAAGCCCTTATAAATTTAAATCGTTTGTGCACATACGGATCATGACATTTTTGAATGCCCCATGTTCTTGATATAATTAGGCCAAACCAATTTGATTCCATTTTTACACTACCCCTCCCCTCTCTTCAGACTTTCCCTCTATCTTTCATAATTAAAAAAAAAAAAAAAAGTATAATTATATATAGAAATTTAGTATAATCGCAGATTTCTTCAAAAAGTTTCAAACTTGTTTTTGTCTTAGAAAAATAGGGTAAAAAATTTTTCTATATAACCTACATATCCCCCAGATCATAGGACGACATTCGTATGATTGGTAGATCTACCCGTGATTTCCCGTGATAATTAACCAATCAAATCAATCAAAA